GGCTTTAGTGACTTCAGCTCTGATATCTATGTCAGATGAGCTCAGATGAAATGTCTTCTAGTGTAATGAACCCCATGGCTTGGCAAAACTTTATGTATTATTTCAAATAAATTCTTAAGTCAAATGCCAAAGTTCAAACACTGGAGAAAAGCAAGTACTCTTATTATGAAAAAAGAGAATCTAGAAATTTATAGACCTCATATATTGATAACTGTGAAGATACTATAAATTATCATAAACAGAAAGTATATGTAAGCAGCTTGAGTTAATTAATTTATTAATCAAATTTATTTACAGTAGTCCTTGAGTTATGACAGTAAAGTAGCCTGTGCATTATGATCAGAAGTTGTAATGTTCATTAAAATGGTAAGACATGACTAACTCAATTTTATGACTTGCAGCGGTTGTTAATCAAATGCCTCAGTTGTATGTGTGAATACCATGGTCATTCAGCAACTCATTGTTCATTAGGGTGGGGTTTTGCTAAAAACTGGAAGTGCCAGTTTTAGGCAAAACCATCATAAAAAATGGCCACATGACCACAGGACACTGCAAACAGCTGTAAATGCAGCCATCTTGCTGAGCACCCAAAGTCAGGTCACATGACAGCAAGGAGAGGGGTGATTGTTGGAACAATACCACCTCATGAGGCAATCTATTTTGCTGTTTAACAGCTTTTACATCAGAAAGTTTTTCCCAATGCCAAACCGGAATCTACTTGTTTGTAGTTCAACCATTGGTTCTGATTCAGCCCTGTCTCAACACCCTCATCTGAATGACAATCCTTTATATAGCTGAAAACCGTTATATCTTCACTCAAATATCTTGGTAATTTTTCCATTATGCCCCTAGCAGTTCCGAAACTGTGTGCATGTTTCTGGGTAGTACAGGAAGTTTTATTAAACAGCAAATATCCCATAGTACCCTATTCATTCCCATTCCTCATGCTATATGTCCAGTTCTTCACATTATAGGTTAACTGACTCTTATTTATACAGTAGCTCCATATTGTCAGGGTTCCAAGTAACACCCCCAAGAGAATCAAAACTCCGAGGCAGGCATATTCCTCAAAGTACAGTTTTATTAGGCATGTCATATTGGCACATCTGGGGAAACCCAAATCTAAAATCCCCCGGGGTTCCCCCTAGTGAAATCAAAACTTTTTCCTCCTCCTGCCCCTTCAGACCATCACATGGCCCAATCAGGCCACAGTCCAAAGTTCATCCGGACTTGCGTCCCGTCTTTTCACATCTGGAGGGAACATCCTTGGTTCTCAGAGGAAAAAAAATTGTTTTGGTTAAAAAAACCCTCGCTATCTCAACCTCCACACTCCTGTTCCCACAGCTCTCCCAGCCATTGCTGTGGCAGCTCTGAAGACGCCAAGGAAAACGGCTGCAGGGCTGACACATATTTGGCTTTAGATTGTTACAATTTAGTCAATCCTGATTGAAAGAAATTGTCTATCACATACTAAAAGGATCAGGTCACAGAAAAAGTTTTGCTCTTTTGCTCCTGATTCATTTAGATAAATTAAAGTTATCTTGCTCTGACTGGTTAATTAAAAAAGAACTTTTAAAAAAATCATCTGACAACCTGCTTGCTTAATTGCCAAAAACATGGAAAGCAAGTTTAATGAATTCTTCTTCTAATCAAAGGCCCTTTCATGAATGCTTTTAGTGAAATAATGTGATTTATCTGAAACTGCCTAAAGCCCAAGATATTGCAGTGCAAATCCCAATTTTAAACCTTTTACAATGTTTAGAAACAGAGGTAAATATCCAATATTCTCTAGGTTACACGGAAAGGCATTTGCTTAAGAAATGTTTTCTTTTAATAAAATTTCATAAATATCATATGCAAATCTATTTGACCATGTACTGTATTTTATTAAATGAATTATTTGTACCCCTATTCTTATGATGGAACCAACTAGATAATTTGGATAACTTAAATCTAGAAAAACTAATCCTTTTCACTCATAGCAATTGTGCCTTGAACTTTCCAGTGAACTTTTGAAAGTTTCTGTTAAGAGGTTAAGCCTTGAGGCAAAGACTCCAAGGCACGTAACATGATCAGGACACGGCAGATGACAGAGAAACAGTTTATTTGGATAACAGCATTGTTATTATCAGATTAGCAGCCAGGGAAATAGGTTGAAGTATGTTAGAAATGAAAGTAATTTATCAACAGAAACAGGCGAGACTCTTCAATCAAATCAGAGATTCTATACATGCCCAATACTTATCCTAATGATAGAGAATAGGGATGGGTAGTTTGTTTTGAACTGACTTCGATTAATGCTACTATTATTTTTATATACAGATTAAAAAAATAATTCCAAGACCTAGAACTGAAATTGTGAAGTTGTCTCAGCCTATACATCTTTAATATTTTTCAAGGAGGGTACTTTGAGACAGACACCAAAGCATAGTGATATATCACACACACTATATTTTTCAGAGGCATATCCAATTTGTTTGTGAAATGTTAAAAGCCAACCAAAATAGACAAGATTTTGTCATAAGGCGTTTCATATGTTGCTATAGTGTACTACATATATAATAAAGCACATTCATAACTTACTTCTATATTGGAGTTTCCCCTATGGGAACAGCTTATCTTGGGTAAGGAATGGTTATGAACTACCATTTTACCAGTACTTGGAATATTTAATGGAGTTTTGTCCAATATCACGAAATAATGACCATTAAAAATTATTACATAATGGCCAGAGTATCATAGAAAATTAAAATGGATTACACTTAAGCAGTAGTTTTAAAGAATTACTGTCCTATCAGCACAATTCTTCAAGGATTCCAGTTACTGAAACTAGGTCTTGGTAAAAATATGAAAAAATACTTGCCCCAAATCCCAGTGATATATCATTTAACCATTGTTGACATTTGTAGCTTCAAATACAAGGGCAAATATGAATTCCCCTCAATTATTTAAAGTTTAATTTTCAGAATGTATTAATCTATCTCTTATATCATTTATTTTTTAAATAATGGAATAATGCTGGGAGGTTTTTAGAAAAGAAAAGACTTGTAGCATGATCATGCCAACTTAAAAGTAATGCCACTGAGTTTAATAGTACTGCTTGAAATCTGAGTACAAAATTGCAGGTTCAAGGATGTGTTTCATGGAAAGCCATCACATCACCAATTGTGATCCTTCTATTTAAAAAATCTGTAAGTTATATATTTTATAAATTTTATAAATATTGTTGCATACATGCAACATTATGCATGTTGCTTGGGATTCTTTTGTGGACTATGAAGAGAGATTAATTTTATAAATATCCCAAATAGATATTACTTAGCATAAAAAAGCTTTGTGTAAGACTTTTAAGGATTTGGGTTGATGACATAACTGTTTTATTCCACATGCTCCATAAACAGGACAATAGTATTGTGTTGCTAGTGACATATACAGTATATTAGAATCCTGAAGACTCTTATCTGCTTGCTCTAAGATACAAGTGTCAAAAATAACAAAATGAATGCACACCTTGTTTTAGTTCTGTGGAAAAGTATCCTGTAAATCAGGGTTGTCAAACTCGTGGTCTGCAGGCTGGAATTGCCATGCGCTGGCCACGCCCACACCCAGTTTAACGAAGGGAAAAAGAAACCCCCGATACGTCACGATGCCACCGTGACGCCATGAGTTTGACACCCTTGCTGTAAGTTAAATGGGCTTGGTGGCTCATTCAATTCATTTTAGCTGTAGATTTTTTAAATGTTTACAGGAAATCTAAATTTCATTTTATGCCATTTTATTTTTGAAGTAATCTAGAAATATCCTTTAAAAAAATTAAAACTTCTTGCTTAGTTTTAAACAGATTTTATCTTTCATCTTTTCGCTGCCATTGAACTATAATGTAATCCAGGGCAGTACATATGGAATAGTACCGCATTTTAAGCAAGTTAAAAGTTATAATTGCATCTTGAAGGGTCCTTCTATCTTCTCTACATTTTAACATTGCATGGTTTAAAAATCACAATTTAAAGGTAGGCTTGAAAGGATCAATCAATAAGCCTATTGTATAAAGAAGGTATAAGATGACTAAGGATTAGTCAGGATCTTAATATAATTACTTTGGACTGGTTATAAGTCTAGATAGAAGGAAAAATAACTATGCCTATTCTTTCAGTATTATAATTATTTCAAAGATAATATTCAAAATCTTGATTTAAACTCAAAGAACTGTATTGGTTGTAAAATAAATTACATCTGATAAACCTACAATATTTATAGCAAGCATAATTTTGGCAATGTAAATTTGATTATGTATTAGTAAGATAGATTGATACCTTTTTAAATATAAGTTTGGAGTATATACTATATGGAAAACTATGTTATATGGAAAGATCTTGTATATCTTGAAGGTGAATAATTTTAATCTTGTTTTGATTTACTACAAAATGGGTATTCATTTACAAATTACAATATCAGACCTACTTTGCCTGTGCTCAGAAACCTAAGCAAAGTTGAATCTAACTAGTATGCAGATAGAAAACCAGGAATAAATTTCAAGCGTGTAGTACTGATTATGTAGGCTGAAAAACATCTTAGAATAAGATACGGACAAGCCACTGTCATATTACATCAAGAACAGGAGTGAGTGTTTACTTTAAAAAAAAGTCAACAGCACCAATAAATAGATGATTTCTTGGGACATAAATGAGTTTTAGAAGTGCTGTCTGATACAGAAGAGAGGATGGGTGGAAGACACACAATACAGCCACTTTGTGGAAGGTCTGAAAATGTAATGCTTGGATAGAAAACGTCCTGAGAAACCCTATTTGCATTGCTTTGAATTTAATCAAAGAAAGTCAGCATATACATACATTAATTTGGAATATAATGCAATTCCATGGATCATCTGCTCCATGGAATAAGAGCTGTGAACAGAGAATACTGCTCCTACGATCAATTTGAATAAATTGATTAAAACAATTTAAAGAGTAATTTCTCTTGTAAAGAATACCTAGAGTTCCTGAGTTGTAAACATTAGCATTTAATTCAAGTGGAGCCATAGTATACAAACATACATCAACTTTAGTCAATATATCTTATTTTAGAATATATTCCATATCTGAATAAAAAAGTTTAAATAATCTTCAATACATGTACAATAATGGGACCCTATCTTTCCAGTGAAATATGAGTGCACATTAAGTAATTGCTTTTACTCTCCACTGAAATATGAGTGGACATTAACTGGCTCTATCCACTGCAAAAATAATTTAAGTAGCATACTTGCAGTTTCATCTCAACCAATTCTATGCAATAAGGAAAGTGTTGTATCTAAAGATGAATAACTGTTCACCCTGTATATTTAAAAACATGTTTAACTAGTGTTAATATAATTTTTCTGCGTTGATAAAAAGATGTCTACAATTCTGATAGCATGCAGAGAATTCATAGGTTCTTACATACATCCACACAAACATATATTTGTTACAAAAATAGTGCAAAATCAGGAAAGAAGTGATACAATCATCTCTACAATTGCCACCACTACATGCACTTGTGCAGTTTCCCAAGAATTACAACAAACTCTTTCAGTAACTGGCCAGGGCCATTATACATCATTTGGAGTCCTCAGAATCTGGAAACTTTATACTTGGCTGCCTAGTTATGCCTGCTAGTTGAGGCAGAAATTTATCACCCCGCCTCCCTAAAAGGTTATAGTAGTCAACAGTAAAATTCTAAAATAAAAAGTCCCTTTATCTTTGTATTCTTCTCTCCAAGACACAAAATTTTATACTGCACCCTACGCTTACTACTGACCTTGATATACTCTAATTTTTAAATCTCCCACTCTTTCTCTCTCTCTCTCACACACACACACTATTCTTGTTTGCATTCTTCCTTAGCCCTTTCCAAATACCTATTTCCCCTATTTGTTTTTATTTTTTACTTGTCACCAGAACAGGCAGACAGTGCTTTCCCCCTCCCCATTCAGTGCCCCCAGTTGTTGACTCCAATTTCCTGCTTGTAGCGGTTGGTAAGTACATTGGCCTTGCGGGTAAGTTTGGAGAGCACAGTGTGAAGCCCACTCAGGTGATAATGAAATTGCTTCTCTAAATCCTCCTCCACCTCCTCCTCTTCAGGGATTCCTCGGCTTATGTCCATGGCACCAGAGCTCCCATTCAGCTTATCCTTCTTCCTTCCAGTGGTTTCCTCATTTGCCTGCTGCAATACACCCCATTCAATGTCATTGCGAATGGATTTGAGCAACATATAGTGACTATACATATCTCTGCAAGAACAATAGGTACTGCCATTGGGGGTCAACTGGGGCTCCCTTTCTCCACAACCACCCCCTGAATCCAGTTCATTCAGCATGAGAGGCACATCCCGAAGAAGACTGGGCACCATCACTGTTTGGTCCATGTTGTTAACAGCTCCAATAAAGCGGTTCATTGCATTGAAGAGGGAATGTTTTTGGCTGTAAGAGTCACAGATCTGCATCATCTTGATTGCTGGGTAAGGTGCACTGTGAGCAAGCAGGAGAGAAGTACCTTAAGGAAGCTCTAGCTGTTAAGATGGAATCAGTGAGAAAAACTGCTGCCAAGTAGTTAAGTTTATTTTCCAAAAGGGAAGCCCACCACTGTTTTCCTTTTCTGTACAATATTCTCCCAAGGGTTCAGTGATATTTCTCCAACTTTCTTTCTCAAATATTAGGTACAATGCAGGCTCAGCGTAAGAAAGCCTCTGCTGCAAGGGGTGGCTGTAAAAGAGAAAAGATGGCGATTGAGACCAGTCCGTGCTTTGCCCCAAACCCATGCTGTATCAGCTCTGCCTGTCCGCTAGCTGGTTTGAGCCCTTGCCTTTCATCAAATGCCTGGCTCTTTTAAAATTCACAGCTTTCTCCATAGTGCTCCTTCTCCAATTTATAATTGTATTATTGTTTCTATGCCTAAAATAAATTATTGGAGTAAAAAGAAACAACCCTCTTCTCATCCCGATCTTCATGTACCATCAATGCAATTCCCTCCCCACCGCTTTCCGAATTAAACTGAGCACATTTCTGTAAATACACCGGTAAAGGAAAGCACTGATAAGCACAACCAAAGCACCGAAATAACCATTGTCCCCATCTCTGTACACGCGGGAACAAGCAGCAGAATCTCACTCGGGTATTTCTCCTCCGTAGCCATTTCGCAATGTCACCTCCTACTCCACATCTTGCCGAGAAGCCAGCGCAGTATCTCGGTCTCCTTCGTTTCGTTGGAAAATGCTTATATATAGCCACACAGGCCCGTCTCTTTAACAGCGCCTTTGGACTGCCAGCTCCACCCAGGGAGTAGACTCCCGGTTTGGCTCGCATCTGCTTTCCTCCCGTGCATATAAAACTTCCTTCAATGCAAAAGGCGCGGGGGTGGGGGAGTCTGAAGTAACTCTTCTCCTGTCAATCCCAAATGTATACCTCGCAAACCGTGAGAAAACCCAGGCTCTACTTCAAAGAATCGCCTCGCCGCCCTTTCCATTCAAAGCAGCAAATGGAAAACAGCCGAAGAACCGAAATAAGCGCAAAATAAGCCGCCCCTGCAACTCACCCCGAACTTCAACTATGGCGGCTAGCCGGCTCCGCGTGCGTCCTGGTGCCCTACCGCAGTCTTTCGCTCCCTCTCTATCTCAGAACAGTATTTATAGCCCGTATGTTAAAATAAGGTGTTTCCAAGGGCCACCCCCTTGCAGTGAAGCAAGGCATGGGGGAAAAAAAAGAGAAAGAGAGGCTTATCTGGGCTTTCCAAGTGACCACATGCAATACCGGATTCTGCTAGCAAGATCGACACGCAGCTCCACCTCTTCACCAACATCCACCCGGGAGGGCCCTATGAGCATTGGTATTGATTGGGGGAGGAGAAGTTGTCAAATAGAGGCTCTCACCCCACTATGTGAACCAAGAGAAATCTTTGCAGCATCCCCCAAAGCAGAAGTTAGCTTGCTTGTCCTCAGATTCGCAGGCTGCCATGGAGGAGTGAGTAAAACAAACACGACTAGGTTTCCTTTCCTTTTACAACCCCGCGGGTCGGAGCATCAAGAACTCAATTCTCTTCTATCTCTCCCCCCCACCCACCACCCCACCCCATCCAGAGTAGCAATTAAAAAAAAAACACACACACGTAATAGAAACCACCCTCCCAAAAGCTGTGGGATCGTTGCCAAAAAGCACTCAAAACGACCGCAACTGTTAAAGGCGGTTAAAATAGAGCAATCAGCAAGACAAGTTCCTCAGCAATATAAGGCGGGACGTTTTTTTCTTTCACTAAAAGCTTCCCCAATCCTTTTACCGTTTTCTTGCTCAAGGCGGCTTGAGGAGGGTACCATATTTGAACTCTTGCCAGACTTCAGACCCAAAGCTTCTGTTAGGGTCAGTCTTAGAGCTTCTCTAACCCCCCCCCCCCAAATGGTGAGCCTGTAAGTGAGCGACCGATTAATCACACCTGGCTCTTAAAACACTGATAGTGCTAAAGAGCATTGCTGCCTCAAGCATCTGCCTTGAAATTCTACTCAGTTACCTGAAAGGAGACCATGAATTACCACACGAACAATTTCTAGTCTCTGAAAAAAAAAATCTCTAGGCGTGAGGTCATTCCCCCTTCCTCAGGTTCATCTTCAAATAAAACAGGCAGGTGTCTGCGGGACACTTATGACTACAGTATTTTAAATAAAATGCAACTCTTCGAGGGGATGCCCTAGGCCTAGCCCTAACCCTTCCCTGGTAGTAGTTTCCCAAAGCAATTGGCTTCCTGACGTTTTTTTATCTCGCAGGGGGAAAAATTGGAATGAGTACGAAAAACTCGGGATCAAACTCCCACCTTAATAGGAAAGGACTGCAGACTTTTTCTAAAATCCTGTCTGATATATATACCTTTAAATTCTTTCAGCCTTGGCAATGATCTAAAGGTTTTGAGAATGTATTAAATTGCTTTTAGCTAGATTTTCTACTGTCAAAAATATGGAGTGCAGCCAGCTTCCGTAGATGACAGAACACATGTATAGATTATTCCCTTTGCGAGGGGCATATTATATTCAAGTTCGAATAATAGACATCGGATGGGAGGTTGAACACGTATTTTCTTAAGTATACGTTGTTTTACTGGAGAATAAATCTTGTGTCTGTTGGACGTTTTACTCCAATTAAATGTGCCTAAAAATTTAGCATTATTTTTCAAGTTTATAGATACTCTAGAGACAAGGATCCCGATGGATTTTTCCCTTTACAACTCTTTCACCTTATTACACCGGAACTGCCCAGGTTTTAGTAACGCATTTAAAAAGATAGCTCGAATCAGATGAACGAGTGAGATATGCGTTATCGGCAATAGCAAGTGGTGGCTAGGTTGGTTGTGTCGCCTCGGAGAACTATTTCGAAGGTCAAAACTATTTGCTCGATTCCTATTACTAGTAGGTCGCTGGCAATAGGAGCATTCCATTGCTTTTCACGCCTCGGATGCGTGAACATGACTCTTACCGTTGCAGACGTTTTACTTCCGCGAGCAGATCAAAGCGGAGCAGTCTGCAAGCGAATGTCTACAACTTCTCTCCCCTTCCGCCATCCAGAATTAAAAAATAAAATAAAAAGATTATAAAGCCGCGAGAAGATCCGGGTTGATGCGCGATACTTTTCGGGGCAAAAGAGGTCACGCGGACGCATAAAACCTCCGCGTGCCGCCTCCCAGAGCTGAGCCCCGTCAATGACCGACAGTTACGGCCTGCCGGGATCACCCCACAGCCTCACCTCCAGCTTCAGCCAATCACCGTGCGTGCTGCTAGTCAGACTCCATCCGGATATGCTAATAAGTCTCGGCAATGCCCGATCAGAAATAACACTTCCTGTCTCTTTCTGCTCCAGCGCCCGTGGCAACAAAGGAGTGGCAGCTGAAGAGAGCAGCGTGAAGATCTCGTGGCGGGGAGGGAGAGAGAACGGGAACGAGTGTGTTGTCATGACAACCTATAAACGACAATAAGCCAAGGCATTGGGACATAATGACTCCCTATCTTTTGCATAGTTTATACCGTTTTCTCTGGAAAGAAAAAAGGAATGAAGGCTCTTACAGTACTTGAAGCCTTGCATCATGCTGCACCATGTTGCAATCAGGAAAAAAATGACTAGTAGGTTTCTAGAAAAACTCCTCTAACACGTTATTTTTTTTAAAAAAAAATACTTAACTGAGAATTAAAAGTGTACTGTAGGAACGTGCAAACTATCGGATTTACTAGTTCCTTTAGACACAAGTAGTTAATTGGGAAGTGTTCCTGCACAAATCAAATTGAAATAAAAATAAGTGAAAGCTGTTTGTAATTCATTGTTTTATATTGCATTATTTTTTATCTTGCGAGTATTTTGACTAAATGTATCACTAAATTATCACTTATTATTTCAATGAGAATTGCCAAAGCTTATTTTAAAAATGAACCCTGTATTCCTTTCTGTTTGTTGGATTTGTTAAAGTCTGCAACTAGTTCAATATTTTGAAAGCGCCAAGAACATTAAAAAGAGGTTTAAGGAAAGCTTAATTAAGGAAGCTGCTTTGTCTTTAAAACATGTTTCTCCATTTCTCATCCAGGGAAATATATTCTGCCTTTTTAATATTTCCTAAAATATTTCATTCTTCTAGGAGGGGGTTGGGTGCTAAAGATAATCAAGAGCTACTTTGTTTGATTCAATTCCTTATATTCTGTTTTTCCCCAAAGGAGCACAATGCTGAAATGGGGTTTGGTTTAAAGGGGTTTGAATAGTTATATAATTCAAAATAAGGAAAAAATAGTAAACATAATTTTCTGATCTGAAAAATAGGAACTATTATGATTATGTAGAGATATTGATGGCCACTTCCTTCTAAAGTTGTCCTACATAATAGATGAGCAGTGGAAATGGATGCCATACATTTTTTTTAATTCTTTGGCAGAAGAATAACTATGACAATCTTTAATACTTCAAAATAGGAGGTAGTGAGGAAGCTTACATATTCATCGATGAGGAATTCCATTTTCCAGGGAACTGTTTTTAAACAGAAGATTTTTAAACTTGTCTGGTATTACAGTAATGATTAAACTATAGAGTATATGGAAGGATAGAATGAGATTACATTTGTACAGGAGCACTTAGCAGTCCCATAACAATGCACAGGAAGCAATAAAAAATAAAAAAGGTGATATGAGGATGTAATTGCTATTATGGCCTGCACTCAACAGATTCTCTGCATATTCTGCACATTGGGTCAGGTCTAGTGTGGTAGATCCCTGCATCTATAGATCTGGTTCTTGTGCCTGTTCTTGTGCTGCTACGATCAGTGTCTCAGTGCTGTCTTTAGTTCAGCCCTTTCCAGCCACTGATTTCCCAGTGTCTGCCAGGTGATGACCTGTCTGTCAATGGTACATACCATGCAGGGTCTTATCTTGCTATGGCACTTCCTCTGCTTGATCTTCCTCCCACATCTGCTGCTGCCTCAGGCATTCTCTCAGCAGCTCATCTTTTGGTGCCATCTTACTGATGTACTCCCAGATGCTCTGGTTTATATCCAGGCCAGTGGCTTTGATACTCACCAGACAAAAATCTAACAATAATAAATAATAACTGCGTTGGAAGATCTACAATAAATACCATTTGTCTGCAAGCAAAAACTGGTGGGACCATAAAATAGACAAAGTAATAGAAAATGAAGAAGCTAAAGTGCTCTGGGACTTTAGAATTCAAACACAAGCACCTGTCATAGAACACCCCAGGCTTTATAATTGTTGATAAGAAAGACAAAAAAAATCTGTATAATGGATGTGGCAATACTTTTTTTTTTTATTGAAAATTTTTTTCAAATACAAATTTTTCCCCCTTTTTTCTCCCCCCCTCCTCCCTAACGCCCCCTCACCACCCGTCCCCCTGTGACTTCTTCAAAATAAAATCCAAATTCATAACAGATTATATAATATTTTACCATCCCCTTACTCCATCCCTCAAATACTGACCCTTTCCTTCTAATAATATTATTACATCCCCCTTTTACCATACATTTCAAAATAACATTCTACTGTAACATTGTATAATAACTTCTGGTTTAACATAATAACATTATTATAACTCCCAATTTAGCAATAATCTGCCCTTTTTCTCCTCCCCCATACATATATCTATATATTAATATAACATTTCAAAACAACCTTCCACTTTAAGACTATATAATAAATCCTATTTTAACATTTAATCTTTAATGTATATTAATATAACATTTCAAAGCAGCCTTCCCCTAAAAAGCTATATAATAAATCCTAATTTAACATTTATTCAGCTCTATCCATTTCCTCCACTCCCATAAATGTATCTCTTAAACATCCCTTTTCTTAAACTAAACAATCAATAAACTAACCTGTCTCCACCCACTTTCCTACAAAATTACCAT